AGAGAAGAGAAGAGAAGAGAAGAGAAGAGAAGAGAAGAGAAGAGAAGCGAAGAAGAGAGAAGAGAAGCTGGGCCAGTTTCAAGCCCAATAGAGACATAGCAAGCAAGGAAAATGACAAGTTAACAAACACTCAGGTGTGACAATTCTAGAATTTTTAGCCTTTTGCATTGATTTAAGACAAGAGAATTAACCTGCTGTCATAAATAGGCACAATCAATATAGCATTGGAAACCTTCCCAAGTTTGCATGTAAAACTTTTAAAAGAATTCTCTGATATTTGAAGTGATACTTTTCTTAATAGTGTAGGGATTAGCTTCTGCTTGCCAGTAACACACATTTTTAGATGATTGGGTAAAGAAGCAATAGCACCCTAGTAAGAACTTCTTGGTGTTGTCTGTATAATGGTTGCTCTTCAGATCTTCAATTGTATATCTCCAAGATTCAAGAAGTTCCTGGGTTTGTCAGCCTCTGAAATATATGAGCATGTCTGTCTAAAATCCAAGTCTAAAGAAACCTCTCAATAACTAGATGGTAAGTTGAAAATCTATATGTATGGTGGGGATATTTCTGAATATATCAGAATAATAGTGGCTTGGAAAAAGTAGACCAAAATAGAGAACATACAGACAGTTAAAAGCCAGAGGTTTGGGTGGAGTTGATGCTAACTAACAGAGATAAACAATAAAGGGCAAGCAAAAGGAGGCAGAGTATAGCCAATTAATAAAAGAACTTCCAAAGGATGTGTGCACAGAATTTAAATGGAACATATTTAATGAAAATTACTAAGGCAAGCAAGTGGGACTATATCGATGTTTAACTTAAAAACAAGAAAAATGTTGACATAATTGTAATTTTAATAAAAGTACTACATATGATAGTTTAAATAAAAGTATTCAGTGTGATGGTTCATAGAAGAATATGATGTTAAACATGCATTATTTTGCTTGATAGATTTTTCCCTTTTTAAAGCATTTAAAGCATTATAACTTGCATTAATACAGTGAAGAGCCTGAGGCTAGTTGCTTTCCTGACTTGGTAGAGGGCCAAAAATGTCTTCCACAGTTTCATTCACTAAATCCTAAAGTCAAACTAGTTAATATCGGGGATCGTAGGAGAAAAAAATCAGAGTGTGAAAATATGTGCAAAGAGGGAAAGAAAGGAGAGAAAGAGACTGTCAGGGAACCAAGAAGAGAAATTCTCAGTAGGCCACTTACACGAGGTCATTGCTAGCTATGACAACCATAGACTAGTCATGTAGCCCCAATTTCCTCTTTATGGTGGTACTGCCTATCCAGGTAAGTCTTGTCTTCCTTGGTTACTATGCCTTTGGAGATTAAGAGAAAACAAAAATACAATTTTTCAAGGGAATTGCCTCAATTCTTTACCCAGTGTTAGTCATTATTAAGATTTAGAAACCATCTCTTTGTTTTTCTGGTACATGAGTAAAAACTATTACGTAAGGGAAAGTTATCAGGAATTGATCACTGAACAACTAGAGGAAGCCTGGGAGTTCAGCATCTGCAAGAATGCAGGGAGACCAAATGTTGGAAGTAAATCCCAGGATCAAAGGTGTTCTTTAGAGTTTCAACAGTGAGGAAAAGGATGTTTAATAATGTCACAGCAGCTTTGTGTCCTACTGGCAACCTGGCTCATGCTTAGTTTTGATCTTTGAGAAGAGAATATGTCATTTTAAAGCTATTTTTAGATGGGGGGATTTTTTTTTCTTAGAAACATATGCTTCTGAAGTGGCTCTCCTCCTGTTCTTTTAATTTTAACTGTGTTTTATCAAGAGAAAGAAGTGTAAGAATAAGCTCATCCTCCTCCCCCACTCTGGGCTTGATCTTGCAGAAAATCATAAAGCTTAATCTATGAAACCACCATTTCCATAACAACAGACAGAAAATCCAATTAAAAATAAACCTTTGGTTCACAGAAATCTCTGTGGGCCAACTTCAAACTTCTTTCTTGCATTATTAAAAATGTGAGCAGATTGATTTTAGAAGACACAGCTCTTAAAAATGCACTTGATAGTCTCATTTCCCAGGGAGGGTGCTCACTTAACATGAAAGGTAATGAGAAGTGCACTGTGCTGAGTCAAGAATTGTGTTTGTCAGCCCTTGATTTGCTTCTACAAAGATGAGACCAGTGAGTTCATGCTGTGTACCACATGCTTTACTTCATCTCTACATTTTTATAAACTTGTAGATGTGGAATTAAATTCATACAGAGGCAAAACCACTAGTTCCAAGGTCGCAATGGCTTAAAAAGTGGTTGAGCTAAGTGCTCTGTTTACTCCAAACAGGAATCAAACCACTTGCATTATGGAGCTTGTTGGCATAGCAATGAGACCTTCTGCTAGTAAATTGACTTCTAGTCCCTCCACCCTTTTTCTAAATGAAGAATGTGGGGATTAGATTTTCCTTGTGAGGACAGTGAGCTTCTACAGAATAAGCACACTATTAGGACAAACTCTGCATCCTGTGTGTAGGCCAAAGTGAATGAGAATCTATAAACAGCACATTGACCACATAGGGAAGCTAAAATTGATGCTACAGATGACAAAATGTATGGGGTCCATCAAGGAAGGCCAAATCTCTCCTACAATCATTAATTTTCTAAAACTTAACTTAAAGTCTTCTAAATCCCCATCCATAAAGCAAGGACTCCCTAGCGATCTCTCCCATTCATTTAGATCCTCATAATTCTTGAAAATTTAAAAATGCATGAAATTGTTAAAGGTGTTTAATAAGGTGATATTATGAATGGCAAGCTGTTCATGTCTTGGCAAACTTTTAATGGTAATATTATGGCCACTCAAGCTGTTAATCACCTGGATTCCAGTAAAATCTATTTTGTCCTTTGAGGATAACCAAACATGCCTCAATTAAGTCTTTTAGGAATAATATGGGTTGGGGGCCAAATATTTATGAACTCCAAGCTCTTATGTTGAGTTTCAAACCTCCAATATGATGGTATATTAAAAATGTGAGGTATCTGAGAAGTAATTAGGTTTAGAAGAAGTCATAGATTTTGAGATCTCCCATCTTTATTTTTTAATATTTTTAAAAATGATCTTTTCTACAGAAAATGCTGTCTGGACATTCTGAGAAAGGTAAGGAATCCCAAGGTAGAATGTGTTTCCATGCACAAGAGGAAGACAACGAGAGCTTGTTTGGGCACTGGAGACGTAAGGACACTGGGAGAAGGCCAGCAAGCCTTGTGCAAGCCAGGAAGAGGCCTTGACCAGAGACCAGAACTCTCTAGAACTTCCAAAAAAATGAGGAAAAGTTACCCTTACTATAATGTTTTGTTCCAATAACTTGAGTGGGCTAGGCACAATCTTTTAAGAAAGTACAGCATATTATTTCTTTTGTGTAGAGAATAGATGTATATGCAATTTTGTCATTTGTTTTTATTGTGACCTAGTATTTAAGCCAGAGATGTCATTTTTAAAACAAATTATAAGGAATGTCTAGTAGAAAGACATGAATTCTAAATTTCAAAGGCAATAGAGAATAGTATTAAGATTGACTGTAGATCTTCCATCTTTATTAAAACATCTTTTCTACAGAAAATGTTGCCTGAACATTCTGGGAGGAGTAAATAAAATCCACTATCTTCATCAAAAAATTTGCAAGATTGTATCAAAATTTAGCCTTATTTCCAGTTATTTCAAAAAGTTTTAGAAACAGAATTATGAGCAAGGGGAGTAGAAGCTCATAGAACTATCTACAGATAGAGATTGATAATCAAAGGAACCAAATGTCATCCCCATGGTCACAGCCATTTAACTGAAGAACCTAGTGCTCCTAGGTTCTAGCCCACTAGCCACACTTCTGGGCTAGTGATTTATAAAGAGATCTTATCAAGACTATCACATGTTACTATAGTTTTGTCATCAGTTGCTATCTGTGCTACTTCAAACATGAAAACTAACCAAAAAAAAAAAATGTGTACTTGGTTCCTTTTAATTAATTAATCCAATTAATGTTGGTTTCTTTGACCAGAATCTAATCTAAGCTATGGAACAATTCAATTTGTCATACATGTTGCATAAAATAGCCAGCTTTGAATTCTAGATGTCTCAAAGACTTACCATTAGGAAGCTTAAAGTTAACCTTGAGGTAAGAGAGACAAATGAAGGTATGAAGGGTGTGTATGTGTTTGTGTGTATGTGTGTGAGAGAGGAGGGGGAAGGGAGGAGGAGAAGGAGGAGGAGAAGGAGGAGGAGGAGGAGGAGGAGGAGGAGGAGGAGGAGGAGGAGGAGGAGGAAAGAGGGAGGGAAGGAAGAAGGGGGAAAGACAAAGAGAAAGACAGAGAGACAGAGGGAAACAAAGTGACAGGGAAAATGAGAGTTTCAATTTTCACTGTCAAATCAGTGTGACCGTAGGTTTGTAAAATCTTTACTCTCAGAAGAAAGTAGATGATGTATTATAATTCATATTTTGACAGGGTACTAGGGGCAGAAAACTAGATTTTTGTCTCCAGTCTGCTATGCACTGACTTTCTTACCTTGAACTTTCTTCCCTGTTTCTATTGTCCATGTTTGATAAAAGCTTATAAGGAAACTCCCGTGGGGCTCTATTTAAACATTCTTTCTTGGAAAGAGCTCTGTGATACTTCCCTTCCTGGAAGCTATGTGAAAGCCATAGCATCATAATGACATTCTCTACTGTGTGAGAGGCTGTTATTAACTGTTATTAACTCAATATATTAATTTTAGCCTGAGTGGAAGGAAGGAGGCTAGAGAAAATTTCACAGAGGAGTGGGTTTTTTGTTTGTATGTTTGTTTGTTTGCTAAAATTAT